TATAGCTTTTTTCAAGAACTCACTCTTGCCTCTGAGGCTTTGCAGATACTGCTCTCACTATCCTGTTTTTCTTCCTTCCCCAGTGTAGCTTAGCTTCTCCCTTTCCCGGGGGACCAAGCGCCATGGCACCCTTCTCTAGGGGGCTTCCATGACACCCCTGCCGCCTGCCCCCATCTTTAGGCATCTCCTTTCTGAGCTCCTACAGTGCCCCTGCTTATCTTCATCAGTGCACGAAGCCCACATGCTCCAAATACCAGTAGACTTTAGGGGCAAGGGCCTTATTTGTCTTTCTGTCCTGACTCAGTGCCTTGTACCTGCAGGTGCTCCGTAGCTCTTTTATTAGTGAAGACATCCAAGAGCGCCAGGCCTGAGAGATGGACACCGAGTTCCAGCTCTAGCTCTCCCATCCCCGCTGACCTTTGGGCTGGGACGTCCTTTCTCTGAGCTTCCATCTTCTCACCTAGAAACTGAGCGTTTTGGTCTGAGGACTGAGAGACTGCAACTTTAACATTACGATCACACATTTCTTCATATCTCACTGATCATTCCAAATAAGAAGGGAGAAGCCGTCTCAGAATAGCTTTGCAACTAGAGCCAGAGCATTTACTGCAGTGAAATTCTAGTTGGATGATGTGTCTTCTCACATTTGGGGCAAAGATGCTGTTGTAAAATTTTATTTTGGGTTCCAGCAGAAGATCTGGTCATTTAAATGCTGCCAAGACAACTCCCTGTAATGTACCACCCCTATCTGGTAAATAAATCCCCTTGTTTGCCTCTGTGAAGAGATGCTTGTGTGAGCACACACAGTAAATGGCATTTTACAGGAAAGGAAGCATTCCGACAGCATAAATACAAAGGTCCATGGCATCCAATTTTACGTAGTTTGGCTTTTTCTCACCAGACTAAGTCTCATTGCCCTTTAAGCCAGCGTAGAAGGAAGCAAAGGCCTGAGCCATCTGTCTAGACAGGATCTGTTTCAGAACTCAATCGTGTCTTCAACTGGATCAGTGTTCGCACGCTGAACATCGGCCAACGTGCAGGTCTCCCATCTGAGCAAGCCCCTTAAGGTCAGTTTCGATAACTTCTGAAGAACTGTAGGATTAGTGGATAAACATCATATCATTGTTTATTGCATTTCTGCAATATTTTGATGTACTAGGCACTGTTCTAGTTGCCAGAGAACCGGTTGGTAAATGAGGAACAAGGTTCCTGTCTCATGGCATTTATCACATGGAAGGAGCCACAAGCCATAAATAAGCAAATCAAAACATGAGGTGGTGACAGTGAGTACCGTGAATGCAGTGAGACAGGGTGAAGTGAACGATGACTGCACAGCGTCATGGGTCAGGGGTCAGGGATTCGAGTGTTAGTGAAGACCTCATTAAAGGGGCCATGTTGGAGCTGAAGGGCTTCAGGAAAGGGAAGCCCTGCGAGACCTGGGGGCAGAGTGTTCCTGGGAAGGAGCCAGCACGTGCAGATTCCCTAAGGCAGGAATGATAGGCTTTGGGAAGAGAGAAACTGGAGCACAGTGAGTGATGGGGAGAGCACGGGCAGGTGACTCGGGAGGCGTGGGCAGGGCTAGATTACAGAGGTTCAGGAATGTCACCTCGGAGAGTTGGGCCTTATTCTACATCTAGTCGGGAGCTGTGGGAAGGTTTAAGCTGAGTGCCTCATGATGCATTTTTTTTTTTAAAGTTCACCCTAGATGAGTAATGAAGAATAGTGGATTGTAGGAGGTGAAGAATTAAAAAAGAAGACCAGATTGGAGGCTGTTGTGATGACCCCAGCTCAAGATGCTGGTGGCTTTGACAAGGGTGGCGACAGGGAGAAGGAGTACACGTAGATGGATGCAGATCTGGTTTGCAAGTAAAGCTCACGGATCTCGCTCATGGTTTGGGTTAGGGAATAGAAGGAGGAATCAGAGATAACCCACGGGCTTTTGGATTTTGTATTCTCTTTATCTTGAGTAGTATTTTTCCCATGGAGATGGGAAAGCCAGGAGCGGATGGGGGAGAATCCTGTTTTGACCATACTGAAGTGTGTATTAGATACCCAAGTGGAATTATAAGGAGGCCGTCGGAAAGATACTTAATATTATTATATTGAGGTTGGTCTGTTGGTTTTTGGCCAGTACCAGCTTTAGCCTAATAAACTTCAAACACGGATTTTATTTATCTTTCAGCTACAGGCAGCTAGATTTACTACCATAGTGACAATTGTACAATTGAGACTGATAACATCTGCCTCTTCTTGTTTGTGCCTTCCTTCCCGTACCTCTGAACTCATGAGATGACCAAGAAATTCCGAGGCAAAGAAACTTGCACTGATTTCTTTGAACTCTCTCCTTCCAGTTCCTACTTTCAATTATGGGGAAAAAAAAAATTGTTATTGGATAAAAGCGAAAAAGAAGATGATCTGTTTCTTGGCTAGTATCGTTGGGGTCTGCATTACAGATTGGTCATTTCTGCCCTCTGAAGCCATTTTTATTAGACATGTGTTTTGTTTTGCTTTTAACTAGTTGCGTGTTCATATGAGACAGGGACATGGGTGTGGCGTGGCGGTGTGGAGTGGGGTGTGGGTGCTCTTGACGAAAATTGTCTGTAACTCTTTGTCAGAGTATATATTAGACCATTATTCTTTCCCCACGATCATAGTTTTTGCATGTGTCTTGTCACGAGTCCTATCTCTAAGAGCATTAAAAAATTAAGATGAATCCAGTATTGTCACACCCTCTGTGAACCATACTTAACATGTTCCGTTTAACACAATGAAGTTAGAACAGGGAAAATGATGGTGTCACTAGTATCGGAGATGGATAGGTTTTTACTAATTTGAGCTAAAACGAAATGGATTTCCTTACTTCTAGCTTCTAATCATGGTCCCCGTAGCTCTTGGGAAAGAGTCTCACAGCTTTTCTGTCTGAAGAGAGGGAGGAGCACCGCCCCACATCTTAAGAGACTCCAAGAGCTATTGGCATATCTTCCAAGGAAATAGCAAGTCAGGCCACCCTCCGCTCTGGTTTCTCAACTGTGTCATGAGGCCCAAGGAGGCAGCCACAGGCTGACCCAGGTGCTAGTGTAGGATGTCTAGCAAGCCAGCAAATCAGCACATCCCTGAATTTGTTCCCTTTGGGGCCATCTCCTGGGCCCTAGGGTCTCGTGTACTGGAAGCGTTGAAAGTTGCCATCCTGGCAGTAGTACCGATTCTTGAGAATGGCTTCTTGAAGTAGTGGAGCTAAGTGGAGATATTGAAGGCCAGGGAGGCTGGAAGAGAGAAAGGCATTCCAGAGGTCAGCGGCAACAAACCAAACACCATGGAATCCAAAGTAAGACGACTGTATGATATAGAGATCGTTGACAAGTTCATGAACTACTGTGGTAAGCCAGTGACTTCTGAAGTTACATTTGGCCAGACAGGCTTCGAGCATCTGTGGTGAGTGGATGAAGGAGACAGTTGGCACCACTGCATGTTGCCGGGGTAATGGAGCCCCGGCGAGCAGTACTGTGCCAGAAAAAGGGTAGGACCCAA